GTCGCATAAATGCTGGCATAGGTTGCGTGGAGACTTGTGGTAAAGTTTTCAACAAGTAAGTCGTTGCCGCGAACGATGGCCATTGGCGAGAAGTAGCCCATTGCGAAGCTCGCTCTGCTGGAGCAAGATGGAAACGCCAACGATGTCATTACCCTAAGCGGAAATTCCTTCGATGTTTGAGGCCCCTCCGCCGAGTGAAAAGCCATGCCAGGAACAATGGTGAGCTTCATTTTGGGACATCAAGTTGTGCCAGCCCCTGACCCGGATGCCGATGTAGCTGCTTCTGGTGGCAACGATGCGAGACAGGGTATTGTGGCTAGCAGAAAAGAAGAGACCGCTCGCCACCTTGTTCCAACTCCATAATCAAGCAATCGATGGTGGTGCCATTTCCATAAACGGAAAGGGCTGCGGTGGTGGTGACCGGGGACAGGGGGTCAGGCCATCAGAGTGTGGTGCATGCTCCATTGGCTCATTGGCCAGAGAGGGTGATGTTGGCGCGAGTCAGGTTGGCAAGGCCCTGAAAGACGGTGACGCTGTCCACGGCAAAGCTAATGGTGGGTGGCTGGGCAGGGTTTTCTGCCTGTGCGAGTGCCCAAGATAAGGTGCCCTCAACAGTATTGATGCCTGTTGGCATCACGGGAAGAACAGATCGAGGTCAGCCACCAAGTGTAGTGACGCGGCAAGACGGCTCGAGAAAAAAAAAAAAAAAAAAAAGCATGAGGCACACGAAGGGACAAAGTATTTTTGTGCAGTGGTCGCGTCACCAGAACAGGTCTCAAGCGGGTGCGTACCATGGTCTTCGGGTGGGGTGACGAGAAAGAGGTTCGCCTGAACGCGGCTGCTACACAGCAGCAGCAACAACAACAAGGACATCACACGAGGAGCACGTAGAGAGGCGCCAAATCTTTGCCGCACGGTTCGTGGGATGAAGTGAAGCGGCGACCTGTCCATTGTGACGGAGCATTGGCTAGAAGGAGCAGGAGTAGCGTGGCGGCAATCAGCTCAAACCACTTGAACAGGTTGTACCGAGACATGTGGATGAGGGCAAAGGAGCGCTGGTGAGCAACGCTGACGGGGTGGTGTTGGTATTTGAGATAGTATCGGCCCTCCAAGAGGAGGACGACGGCGTGGTCGCGGTAGGCGTCGGCGGCAGCCAAGGGATTGGTGCGTTCAAGTTGGGCAAGGCGTTGCTGCTCGAGATCCACGGCGTGGCGCTGATCGCCGAAAAACTCGCTGAGTGTGTCCATGCCAGGCAGCATACGCGGAAGCGCCTAGGTTGGAATCATCCCCACTTGGCGGAAGGAGCGGGGCCTGGTCCTGGTGTGGCTCTGCCACGCTCTCATCAGCGGCTGGTGGCAGAGCTTCGGCCAAATGGGCGCCATCCTCATCCGTTTCAGACGTGGCCAGCAGTCCCTCGGTTGACATGATGCCCGTGCAGTTTGAGCGCACACGTGAGACGTTGAAACGTTGGGTGCGGGGTCTCCTAAGCTGAAGAGCGCAGAGAGGGATGAGGAAAAGGAGAAGAACAAGGGGGGCGAGGGGAAGGAGGGAGGAGGGGGAGGAGGGAGGAGGGAAGAGGGGGAGGAGGGGAAGGAGGGAAGAGGGGGAAAGGGCGGGGGGAAGGTTGAGGAAGAGAATCGAGGTGGCGGAACAGGTGCATGCAAAATAAAAAGCAGGACTACCATCAAGCACATCAAATGGGGGCCGGGGCTATCAATCAGTCCAAGGTCATTCCCCGATCAACATACCCATGGGCATCAGCAGCAACAACACCAGCAGCAGCAGCAGCGGTAGCAGTAGCAGTAGCAGCGGTAGCAGTAGCAGTAGCAGTAGCAGCCAGGTGAAGCGACAGGGCTATAGAATGTGCGTCCGCAGCTCTGCCACTGAAAAAAAGGGAACAACCCCCCGTGAGCCAACGAACGCAGCAAGCAAGCACGCTTCTCCGCCCCACACACACGCACACACACACACATGTATAAACGGAAGGCTGAGGCGGTTCATCAAGCCATGAAGCCAGTGGTACGTACCAAGCAACGGCTGCGCGCGCACACGGCCCCGTCGAGACGATGAAGAGGACGACGACGTGAGCTGCCGTAAAATACGAGAGAGCGAGAGAGAGAGAGGTGGTGTGCGTTGTCATGCAGAGACACTATCAATCTGACAATTTTAACCAACGGAAAGTATAACGTATATCCAGAGATGGGGTGGTAGCGTGGGCGTTTGGCCAGAGAGGTGTGCGTGGTTGTTGTTTTTTCTGTTGATGATTTGGGCCAACTCACCGTCTTTTTGTCAGACAAAATGAGACGAAGGGAAGAAGGAGAGGGAGAGGGTAAAAGTGAGATATGTTTAGAGATATGAACAGGCAGGGGATGTGAGTACACGGGAAAACAAAGGCAAGAACAGGGAGAGAGAGGCGAAAAGGGATGTATCCAGAGAGACAAACATCTGCCACAGACTTCACCAATTCAACCCTCTCTCCCTCAAAATCTCTCTCTCTGTGGTAGTTGTGCTTTTCCTTTGTGTCTTTGCTCTTTATTTCTCTCTTTCTCAAACCGACCAAACCAATTCATCTCTCTCTCTCTCTCTCTTCTCTCTCTCTCTCTAAATCTGTCTCTCTCTCTAAATCTCTCTCTCTCTCTCTTCTCTCTCTCTCTCTCTCTAAATCTCCAAATCTCTCTCTCTCTCTCTCTCTCTAAAACTCTCTCTCTCTCCCTCTCTTTCTACCATGTCAAGCTCCAGGACGTCTGGAGGCCGGGTTTAGGTTGCGAGGAAGCGCGCGAAGATT